ACATTAATTTTGTATCCTGAGACTTTGCTGAAGTTTCTTATCAGCTTAAGGAGATTTTGGGCTGAGACAATGGAGTTTTCTAAATATATAATCATGTCATCTGCAAAGAGGGACAATTTGACTTCTTCTTTTCCTAACTGAATACCCTTGATTTCTTTCTCTTGCCTGATTGCCCTAGCCAGAACTTCCAACACTATGTTGAATAGGAGTGGTGAGAGAAGGCATCCCTGTCTTGTGCCAGTTTTCAAAGGGAATTTTTCCAGTGTTTGGCCATTCAGTATGATATTGGCTGTGGGTTTGTCATAAATAGCTCTTATTATTTTGAGATACGTTTCATCAATACTGAATTTATTGAGCGTTTTTAGCATGAAGGGCTGTTGAATTTTGTCAAAGGCCTTTTCTGCATCTATTGAGATAATCATGTGGTTTTTGTCTTTGGTTCTGTTTATATGCTGGATTATGTTTATTGATTTGCATATGTTGAACCAGCCTTGCATCCCAGGGATGAAGCCCACTTGATCATGGTGGATAAGCTTTTTGATGTGCTGCTGGATCCCGTTTGCCAATGTTTTATTGAGGATTTTTGCATCGATGTTCATCAGGGATATTGGTCTAAAATTCTCTTTTTTTGTTGTGTCTCTGCCAGGCTTTGGTATCAGGATGATGTTGGCCTCATAAAATGAGTTAGGGAGGATATTAAATTTATAAATAATATTTTAAATATGTTAATGCAAGTTTAAATTATAATGGTCCTAAATTACATATAACTATAAAATTTATGATATTTTAAAGCAAATTACAAATATGTGATAAGTCAAAGAGGTTTCCTAGAAAATTACATTATCTCTGTGAAGGATGTTATAGAAATTTTTAAATGATGGATTAGGAAAGATTTTTAAAGGATTTTTGAGGGTATTTTTTAGAGTAATAGGCCTTTTAATAATACGAAAGGGACAGATCTAGAAAAATGCATATAGGACAAACAAGATTATTGAATGATTTTAGTTTCTTCATAGATTTGTTAAAGATCATTGATAACACTCAGTTAGGAATCCTTAGCAAAGAATTTGAAAAGAAAAGTAGTTATTTTAATATCTTTATTTTTAATACTAATACTTTCCATTTGAAAATTGTGATAATTACCGTACTTTGTAGATTGTATTTGCTTTTCTTATCTTGCATACTCCAATCAGATTCTTTCTTGTTGAGCTTTAGAAGACAAGAAATTATTTCACAAATACGGTTTTCATTTAACTCTTAAAAATAAGTTTCAGGGCCGGGCACGGTGGCTCAAGCCTGTAATCCCAGCACTTTGGGAGGCCGAGACGGGTGGATCACGAGGTCAGGAGATCGAGACCATCCTGGCTAACACGGTGAAACCCCGTCTCTCCTAAGAAATACAAAAAACTAGCCGGGCGAGGTGGCAGGCGCCTGTAGTCCCAGCTACTCGGGAGGCTGAGGCCGGAGAATGGCGTGAACCCGGGAGGCGGAGCTTGCAGTGAGCTGAGATCCGGCCACTGCACTCCAGCCTGGGCGACAGAGCGAGACTCCGTCTCAAAAAAAAAAAAAAAGTTTCAGTTTTATACTTACTTAATTTTAACATTGAATTGATTTGTGACATACGTAGATTAATTATTTTAAAAAACCACAGTTTGGAAAGAACAATGTATTTAAAGTTGGAATAAATAAAATGGATCTTGTTCAATATATACATTTTTGTAAACTAATATGTGCTTTTAGAAAATACCATTTTTTAAAACATAAGACACATAATTCAGTTTGTACCTTATAGTGAAATATTTCAACCCTTCAAACCCATTTTTATAAAATTGCAATATTACATCTGAGGAACTGGGATACATACATTTTTGATATATAATCACAAAATCTATAATTAATGCTGAAAAACAGTCTATAGTAAATATCCTTATCTTTTGACTTTATTATACATAAGCTAAATTTTCATTAAAAAACTAAATGAAATTGCATGGTAATTATATTTCTTGTAAGAAATGAGAGGTATTATTTAGCTCTTGATTATGTGGCATTTATGAAATTTTTAAAAATAAAAATCCCATAGCCTCCCAGTTTTAAATGTTCTATAAAGAAATAGCAACTGGCATTTTAATGATTTAGTTAGTTTACAATACTGTTAACGTTCAGAATGTTCCTAAAATGTGAATGTAATGCTAGGATTTGTGGGATAATTGGAAAATATTTTATTTACTATTTTAGTTTTGCTCTTGGGTTTAAAATTGTTAAAATAATATAAAAATTTTAATGATAGTAGTCTTTTTTTAAAGGAAGATATTTTAACTGAGTTACAGTTAATTTTACTTATACTAAGATATTAGAGAGACAATCACCTTTCAATTAACTTTTACTCGTTACTACTATTCTCCACATAAATCATATAACTTATTGGAATCATACCTTCTTGTTCAAATTTGTGGTGATTATCTTATTTTCTAAATTCGTCTTAATATTTGGCTCAACACATCTGTAATCCAGAAATAATGTCATTTTATTCTAGATATATAGTTGAAAAATAAAAATGGAAATCATGTAAGATCTTTAGCAAAGTTAAAGAATCTCCACGTTTACACTGAAGATTTTTCAGTGATTATGAAAAAACTTTTACTGAAGCACAATAACTTGTATAAACAGTTATTTCAGAATATGCACTAAGGCACATGTCACTGGGAAATAATGAAAAGTACTACAAAAATGTGTGTGATATTATGTAATTATCTGGCTTTTTGCTAAGAGTAAATAATTGTAAGCTATTGGCATTTTGGTTGTGTTGCTGGAATCTGAGAGCAAGCGGTGAGGATAGCGTAGCAACTACATCTTTGATGGAGAGTCAAGGGAGTCTACTCATTATTTTGAATAATAATGTTAATTTGGAGATTATTTTTTACTTTCACAGATTAAATAAGGTCAGTTTTAACTTCATCGGAAATAAATATAGTATAGTAATGATTTGAGGAAGGTAAATGAAATAATTTAGAACCATTTTTAGATTCATTTTAGTTATGTTACCACTGTCTTTTTATGATTTAGTTTTACATTTTGCAAATAAAGATTTAAGTGCAGCCATAGCATAAGCTAAGTAATCCTATTAATGTTTAGAGAAATGAAGTTTTGTCCTAGCAAGATTCAGTCCCTAGATCTGTGTCAGACTGCTCCTGGCCAGTAGCTATTGGGATATAATTATCAGTGTCTAACCATCTACCCTGAAAATTACATGGCACTAAAAGATTGCAAAGCTGTGGGCTAATCAGTGTCAACATAGTTTTAAGCAAAGTTAATATCATTTTATGAGAATACTTAAGCTAACACCATTTAAGTCTGTTTTTATTGCAAATTGAGATTGTTTTGAGTTGCTTTAAGCTTTAATTATAGAGCAGAACTAAATTTGCAGTCCATTTGACTTACTCAAAACTCAAAGCAAAGTAATGAATTTCTGAATCACATCTCTCAAGCTCTCCAATGAACTATCCTGTAATGGTAACAATAGTCACAATTTATTATCTCTGAAGTCAACATTATTAAAGCAGGGGTGTATCGTTGCTTAGTTTGCATAACTAAGGGTTGTTAGGGATTTGAGATTGGTTATCTACTGAATTGAAACAAAGTGAAACATTTTATAATTTAGTGCTAAAAGTATGATTAAAACACTTAGCCACAAATTCCAAATTTTATTATCTCTTGTACTATTGGTCTGCACTTGAACACAATAAAAGTTACAGATTGATTTCTTTTTTTAAAGTATGTGTTGGCGTTTTATAATCAAGGATGGTAGGCCACATTTAGTCATTGCAATGGAAAAAATTGTCAGCAAATACCTTTATGAACTCCTTGTAAGAGATAAAATCAGCAGCCAAGTCAATCAGACATGTCAACATTTCCATTAACTCATAAACCATTAGTCTCTTGGCAAAAGCTCCCAGTACATCAGTCACCAATAAACAATTTTCCATACACATACATGTGCGTGCACTCACACACACACAGCCCTACAACTTAAAAATCTGAACACTTGTTGCAGAAGTTGAGTTGTCTGGGAAGTTGGCAAATGTTGTATAAAGTAAACATAGGTCTCATACAACATAAGTATAAGCTTTTGAATCGTTTACCCTACACGTGACTGTACCTTAGCTGTTTCTTTCTCTTTCATTTGTAAAAATGCAAAATTTAAAGGCAGGGTTTTGAAGTGATGTTGCTGATGGTAGATTCTAACTTAGAACAATTCATACTTTATCAAAGGCTGCAATTCTTGCCCTCCTGTGCTACTTAGGAGGTTGATAAAAGCTTAAAAGCATTCTTTACGTATTATAAATTAAAGGGCTAAAAGTCATGTATTCGTTTTCAAACTTACAAATTTCATGTATGTGGTCCAGATATAGCCGTAAGAAATAGCAAGCTAATCTTTTACTAAGTCCGTTTTAAGGACTGACAAAGTCATGAGAAGCCACTGACAGAAATTAACGATTTATAAGAATGCCTCAGTAAAGTAGATACTTATTAATTAAAGCAATTTTTAGGTGACTACAGTTAGCCGAGGGTGTTAAGTGGGTGTGTGCATGCATGTAAGCATGTGCATATATGTGTGATGTTTTAAGTATGCATACTTGTTTTCTCTATATATGTACATGCAACAAACAGTTGTTTAAATTGAAAACATATTTTTACAATTAAATTTGGTTTCACATAATCATTTATGAAGGAAATTGAAAATATGTCATATAAAATCAAGAAATAAAGTGTATTTTGTTACTAACATTTACATTCCCCATTCTGTGTAATTTGAATCATGTTCATCTTTAGATTAACAGTTGCTAGTACTGTGTATTCTGCATTTTGTTTAATTTATTAATCGTGTTATTTCTAAATTTTATTTAATTGAAGTCATTTCAAAAGCATTGAAATCTTAAACCATTCAGTTCCTGAAAGGTTCTTCATGTGTTTTAATAGGCTTCCATTATGTGTTTTTGCAGCAAGCTTAGTAGTGGAGGAGCGAACAAGACAGATGAAAATGAAAGTGCATCGATTTAAGCAGACAACAGGGTCTGGTTCTAGTCAAGAACTTGATCGCGAGCAGTATTCCAAGGTAAAATTAGTAGTATCCAACAAATAGTTTCCCTTTTAAAAATGTGTAGTGTCTATACCAGGCAGGATTAGAAAGCACCGAATTATATAAGAAAAGGTATCATTTGGGCTGGGCGCCGTAGTTCACGCCTATAATCCCAGCACTTTGGAAGGCCAAGGTGGGCACATCACCTAAAGTCAGAAGTTCAAGACCAGCCTGGCCAACATGGTTAAACCCCATCTCTACTGAAAAATACAAAAATTAGCCAGGCGTGGTGGTGTGCGCCTGTAATCCCAGCTACTTGGGAGGCTGAGGCAGGAGAATCCCTTGAACCTGGAAGGCAGAAGTCGCAGTGAGCTGAGATCACACCACTGCACACCAGCCTGGGTGACAGAGCGAGACTCCATCTAAAAAATAAAAAATAAAAAATAAGAAAAGGTATCATTAAATAATAGTCCTGCATCATAATTTCTACCAAAGCCGGAAAAAAAACCCTCTTTTCTCTTGATATTTTCATATGATATAACTTCATTGAAATATTAACTTGGATTTGATTTTTTTCTAAAAATATATAAATATTTGATATTAAAATCACTTGATGATTGATTAGCATTAGTCAAATTCACATAAATAAGCAAGATATATGAAGCCATTTTGTTGCTTGAACATCATTTAAATATTGCATTTAAGATATTAAGGTATATATTTATAGTCTTAAATACAACTTTGGATTGATATTTGACTATTGATATTTGTGAATGATAAAAATTATGTAATATGAGATTTCTTATTGCTCTGTCTTTAGTAAGAAAAGTAACTGATTTCAAACTTCTAGAAACTGAAATTTACACAGTTTTAAGTGCCAATAAGCATTTAATTTTTATTTCAATAATATTTTCTAAGGAAACACTAAGGAGTTTATAAACTGCTAATATCTGATAATTTTAAATAAAATAGCATAGATTTTTGTTCTTTATAAAGTAATTTCAAGTATATTATCTGGTTTATTTAAAAGCCTTTTTTCTTTATAGAATACTACAAAAGTAGCAGCAGCCATTATAGGTCGACCTTTGTTGTAATTTAATATCACCAAACTCTTTTGGAAGTAATAAGCTATTAGAAATCAAAAGTAAATAAAGCTACACTAAATTAATATTATTAGCTTGAAATATGGACCTAGAAAAACCTACTTATTTTTAAGCAGTGGAAGTGGTTCATTATCTTTCCAGATATTCTGTGACTAAAAAAAAAAAGAGGTAGCTACAAAATATGATTTATCACCAGGACTGCCACAGAGGCATGTGTGTTTGATACAGTCTATCACTTTATGTGTTAGGTTAGATGCAGAAGGGCTTCCAAATGATACAGTGCGGAGGGTCACTGTGATTGGTGATGCCCAACTCCCTAAGAGTCTTACCAAAAAAATAGTAAGCAAAGTAACTTGATGTCCCATAGTATTGGCTATTTCAGCTCTGTACAGATTTATCTTCTCTGCAACTTGTTATTTATGGTATTATCACCTAATCAGCCTATTTATCTGTCTTCATAGATATCATCATTGTTTTTGTTTTCTTACTACAAATGCAGTTTGAATTAGACGGCAGGGTAATTTGGGGTTTTATTTTCCCTCTACAGTTGGATGCAGTTATTTGAAAGTTTCTTTAAACTGGAAATGCTCCTTTTAAGCTGACAGTTTTTATCAGTTTCTTAGCTTTATTTCAAAAGATGAGGTCAAATAGAACAGCAAGGAGAGGTAGAGCCAGTATAGGAAACAAGAAAGAGGCAAGTAAAGAATCAGGGTAAGATACTGAAAGCCTTTCTGGATCATCCTGAGCTGGGACTCTAATCATTAATTAGTCGATCCAAAAAATCAATGAAATGAAGTACTCAGAAGTCTAAACCCCCACTAATAGTCATAGTAAGCCAAAGGTAGGTGTATCTTGTTTGGCACACTCCAAATTCTCTGACTCATAACATTAAAAACTTGAAAATACCTCAAAATCTACTCCAGCTCACTTATTTACCAAATTTATGAAAACTGGGGCTCAGAAGCAAAGAGGTAATTTATTAAAATTTGTATTAAAATTAGTAGAGCCTGTCTGTAGAGTGAAGAGGCCTAGAACAATGGATTTGGGACTTAGGGAATGACTTTGTTCTACTTATATCATTGAAATGAACACATTACTCTAGGTTCCCATGTGGCTTTCAATTTACATAAAAATTAAATTAGCATATTCTGTCTTTCCTCTCTCCTTTGCACAGGCACCCTTTTTCCTTTCCTCTCTCTTATTGTATTTGAATATTTTAAAACCTATTACTTTCAGATATAGTACCATGACTCTTACTGAATAGATACTACTATGTTAAATAAAATTATAATAGCTAAATATGAGATCAAAGTTATGGTAGCTTTAAAAACTTGTAAGAATATAGGATAGGAAATTATATAAGATAAAATAAATGATTAACCTTTTCTTATATGTCAAGTAGAAGATAAAATACTCTCCACATTTCTAATATTTATATTATATACTAACACAATAGAATTTTTTGTTTTCAGTAGCCATTTTTGTTAATTCAAACCTTTTGCATATACTTGAGAAATATCTTTTTCATTTTTATTATTTTACATCACATATTTTATAACTATTTTACAAAGATCTATTTTATGGCTATAATTAAGAGCCAGTATTGGCACAAATTTTATATTGATTAAATTTTGAACTTTAGTCTTTTACTGACTCTTTTTTGGTATCTTAATCCATTTGACATTTTGGATGAAGCTACAAACCTTAGTTGAAATTTATACCAAGCAGAAGTTAGTTAACCATTCTCAGAATACTTTTAATCAACCACTAGTAGAGCTGGACTTTTTTCAGGGCAAAACATTGTCAGACAGCTATAATTCCTGAGATGCTTCTTGAAACCTAGTACCTCTTTTAGAAGATTAAATGACCCTAACATCCATCCTGAGTGAGGAATTAGCACTAACTTTGCTTTTGAAAAAGCACAACGATGCTGCTTAGGTATCCTTGAAATGTGTCACCATTCTATTTTTTTATTGGTGTTATACAGAGTTGCATGCCTTAATGATGAAGTGAAATTCATAATAAGGAAGTGAAATCACATTTAGGCACTCACAATTTAAAGAATGTTTATGTTTCTGTAACCCAGGAACAGCAACCAAGAGTGATGTGATGGGTTTTGTAGGTAGCTGAAGAGTGTTTATTATTACTTACTTCTAAGAATAGTAGTATTTTATTATTTCTCTCACATCAATGACTTATTTTCCCTCTGTAGGATCGGTATAAATTCCTCCTGAGGAATTATGTTCTTCAAAATATATTTTATGTATTTGCATTAAAATATTAAATTGTTACATTTGAAATTTAACAGATCATGCCTGATGAAATTCAAAGTGATTAAAATGTTAACATATTAAATAGTTAAAAGTGAATATAAAAGTATTTCACTTTCTTCAAATAATCAATGTGATTAAAACTGTGATATCATATCAGAATGATAGATTGTTCTTTATCTCAATGTAGAACAATTTATTATGGCATAATTTTTGAAATTCCTTTTTGTCCACTTTCTGGAATAACCAAGGTCTGTATACAAAAAGGTTGAAGAAAAGGTGGCTTAAGTAAAGCCATCTTTTGGCTTATTTCCAACTAAAAATACTTTAGTTGGAAAAATATTTTCATATACATTCACATACCTATATGCTTTAGTGTACACTGCTTAATATTGTCAAATATCAAATAAGGGGAGCATTTGCTCTGGGTGTCAGCACAATACTGACACCTAGAACAGAGAATATTTTATATTCTGTCATGGGCAAGGTATCATTCCAATACATTTGGAAACTATAATTACATAGCATCTCTCTTTTAGCACAGTGTTTCAGAAAACCAACAATATAGGAGTTGTGTTTGTAATGCAGCAACAGTGTTAAATTCAGGTTTTACTCTGTAAACATAATTGAATTTTTAGCACATATACCTGTAAACTGAAAACAGATCTGATTAAAATGAATTGTGTCAGTCAGAATCATGTTATTAAATATAACTGAATTTGCTGGTAAACCATATTGTCACATTGCTTTCAATACATTATCTTAAATCACATTAATTTTAGATCAAACATGAAATCAATATAGCTCAGTTTAGATACAATAACGTATATGAATTTCCTTTAAATTCTAATTTGGCATATGACCTTGAGAGATAAATCGCACAGTTATGAAAAATCCTTGGGAAAAATAATTGTATATATATCCTATATATTGGGAATTATTTTCATGTCTGATATGAAATTATTTTACGAACACATACACATGAGAGGCAAAGAAATGAAACTCACATTCAGAAAGGCTAAGGCGGGTGGATTGCCTGAGCTCAGGAGTTTAAGATCAGCCTGGGTAACACGGTAAAACCCCATCTCTACTAAAATACAAAAAACTAGCCAGGTGTGGCAGCCTGCGCCTGTAGTCCCAGCTACTTGGGAGGCTGAGGCAGGAGAATTGCTTGAATCTGGGAGGCAGAGGTTGGAGTGAGCCAAGATCACGTCACTGCACTCCACCCTGAGCAACAGGGGAGAATGTGTCTCCAAAAACAAAAACAAAACTCACATTTAAATGTTTCAATCCTAAACTACTCTCATATAAGAAATTATTGAATAAACATGAGACCTTTCTCTAGGATAATTTTTTAAGTGTTATTGTCTAATCTTCTTTTTAGTACATATAGACCCAGGTTGTAGCATCAGTTAATTTAGTATGTTTTGGCAAGATAGTTCAAATTCATTAAAATTCCTCTGACATGGAACATCACAAAGGATAGATGACTTTTGCTACAGATTTAATAAACATTTGATATTTTCATACTTTATTTCTCATAAATCTAAAATTAATTGCTTGCGAAAAAACAAACACCCATATGTTATTTTGTTTTACAAAAGAAGTTATAGTATCTTACCTTCCAGTATCTAAGAGAACTACTTACATTTTAGATATCTTTCAGTTATTTATAGTTATGTAACCTATTTATTACAATTATAACATGTATATAAATAATATGTAATACATAAGCTATTCACTGTGTGATTCATCACAATAAGACAGTGAAGTAGAAATAAGAGTAGATAATTGCTTTGACAGCTTTGCGTATTTTAATCTTTTACTTGATTCCTAAAATTTTAGGCAATGAATATCAGAGACAAATTTAAAGACATCTTTGAATATAAGATATAATGTACAATGAAATTTTTATAGGGATCCAGTATTCTAATTTTGATACTAAGTTAGGTTAAATCTGAAACCGTCTAATGAAGCCATAGTAGAAAGGAAAAGACCAGTCACTACCTCTTTACTCAGTCTGTATCAGCCCTTGTTTTTGAAAAGTTATATATTTTTAAGAAATGTTAGACACTATAATGTCTTGCCAAGTATTTAACTAAATTGACTAGTTTCAGAAAGTATCAAAAAGTATGTACAGATGGAACCAGTCTATACAGGTCAAGTATCCCTTACTCAAAATGCGTGGGACCAGAGGTGTTTGATATTTTGGATTTTTTTTTTCATATTTTGTTATATTTGTACCATATACATTGTGTATTTTCCAGTTGAGCATCCTAATCTGAAAATCCAAAATGTTCCAGTGAACATTTCTTTTGTGCATCATGTCGGTGCTCAAAAAGATTTTGGAGCACTTCAGATTTTGAATTTTTTGATGAGGAATGCTCAGCCTGTGCTTTGACTAGAGTAGAAGGTGAATAAAATGGACAAGAATGAAAATGAAAACAAAAAAGAGAAGCATATGTACTAGAAAACAATGAATAATACACTTTTGAGGTTCTAAGTATATACAAATAATGAATTTTCTAATCAAGCATTTAATGATTGTGTTTAATTTATATTTCAGTCTTCCTAAGCCATCTCTTACCACTCAAAGGATAATGTTTTTATACTGGAAATCATATGTTAGCATTTGGATTATTTTAGATTCTACACCTACTTTTATGAAGGTACACCTTTATTTGGTGTGGGCTAAGTAGTCATTCATCTCACCATCTATGTCTTTTCCATGGTCTAATGATGGAGCTCACACTTTCTTGTTTTTAATCTTTAGTATAACATACATAAAGATCAGTACAGAAGCTGTGATAACGTCTCTGCCAAATCATCAGATAGTGATGTCAGTGATGTGTCCGCCATTTCCCGAACCAGCAGTGCCTCACGCCTCAGCAGCACAAGCTTTATGTCAGAGCAATCTGAGCGCCCCAGGGGTAGAATCAGGTGAGTTGGCAATACTGTTTATATAAGCTGGATCTTTATCTGTGGTATAAAAATACAAGTAGCTTCCTGAATATTTTTTCTGTAATACAGTTTAGGTCACAGTGGGTTAAGTATTGATCGACTACTATGTAGTATTGCCAACAGAATGTTTAGGATGGACTACTATCAGATACAGCTTATAACCCTAGTCATAAGTTTAGAGATCACTCTGAGTCACATTTGTAGTAGTTTCCTCTAATATTAAATTCTCTTCCTTTAGTCCAACATCAGAAAGTGTATTCTGTAAAGGGACAGATAGTAAATATTTCAGGCTTTGCAGGACAGTCTTTGTTGCAATTACTCAACAATATCATTATAGTATAACAGCTATACAAATAAATCAACATGGGTGTGTGTGTGTGTATATGGGTGTATGTGGGGTTGTAGTGGATGTGGTAACAAAATATACATCCCTAGTTATGTTACATGAATTGTAAGGCATTTGCATCAATTTTGTTTGAGTCACCAGTAGTGCTTTTGTGTTCTTCAAAGACAAATACCCTGCCGAAAGGAAAAAGACCCCAGACATCCAAGTACTATCTAAACTAAAGCAGATTGATTGTGGACAAAGCATATTTTGTATTAGTTCTTTACTAGTTTTCAGAAGTCAAAGTTTCATATAGTTATAGTTGTGTAACCTAAATATTTATTACAATTGGAGGAATTGTGGGGTTGATGAGAGGTCCAATAAATATAAGTGTTAAAAATAGGAACAAACACTTTTCCAGTACTCTGAAAGTCTGATGTTAGTGCACATTTTGGTGATGTACAATGAATTGTATTTTGAAGATTCTCTCTTGTTTGTTGAAGCAAATTAAAAGTAATCAGCCTGCTGTTATTTAACAATTTCATACTCTGATAATCTAACATGAGCAATTTCAACTGATAAATATATTAGTAGAAAATGTTTTATCTTTACTTTTGGTGTTCTCAGCATTTGATTCTGAAAGAATGTACAGTTCTTTAAAGTTTAAGGAAGAATTATAAGAGCTCAAGAACGTAGCCATATTAAGCTGTTTAAGATCGAGGGGTAAGAAGTATTCTTATAGATTCCTTTTTATTAAATTCTTAATAAGATAGAATGTTTTAAAAACTATTGAATACCAAAGAATGTAATAAATAGGACCTAACCAAGGACTTTGTTTTTACCTTTTAAAAAAGTAATTTTTTACCTTTTTAAGTAATTTTTGTTTATATTCACTGTAGAGCCAAGTACCTTGAGCCCTATGCTTTAAAGTATTACTAGTGAATAGAATTTGTATTACTAAGCAATTGCATAGAATAACTTGTGAGTTCATTTTCACTCTCCTAAAATTTCAGAAGTAGAATTCTTCAGAAATTTATCTTCCTATAAAATTTGGCTATGCAATTTCTTTTAGAAAGAATAGGGAAACAATGTCAAGAGACTGATTTTATACAAGGAGAATGGGGGAATCTACATGTTAGTAGTGTATTGGAACCGGTGTTACTTTGTGGGGAACACGGCAACTCAACAAATCAGCATGGACTGTAACTATATCATGACAAGAAGCAAAAGATAGAGGATTATTTTCCTTCATTGCTTCATATGAATTTTCATATTTAGTGAAGATGGTGGGAAGAGGGGTGGACCTGGAAAGAGTACAAAGAAACTTCTTAGTGATAAATCTATTTTCTCTAAGGACTTTTTTGTTTTCAGCTTCTTTTCCCTTCTTTGTAGTTTAAAACCCATATAAACTGAGAGTTTATTTTATGTAAGTGGATTATGTAAATTTAAGCACTACAGCTAATAGTTAAACAAATTTAACCTTAAGCTAACATGAAGAGCTACTTTTCTTGTAATCTCATGCTGTATGTCAGTGATTTGTCATATGTGGTACATATTTGATCTTAGAATAATTAGGAAGAATAGAGAGAAAAAAATAAGATGTGACACGTCTTCTGACATTCATAGACAAATTATCCCTTCATATGCTTTCTTCTGTCTACATATTCTCATAGACACACATGCAGCAGTACACACACAAACACACACACACACACACACGAAGTTATTTTGCTTCCGTCGTCAATCCCGTGGTAAAAACCTGAGAGAGGATAGTTTGGAATGATAAAGAATAAAATGACATCAACATAAAAGCATCAAAATCCTGTGAACAAGCCTTGCAGGCTCTTCAGATATAAATGTTCCCTGCCCTTATAGGTAACACTATGAGGAATAATTTTTCTTAATATATTACTGTTTCTTACTTATTTTTTAGCAACTAACATCTGCATAATTTTTATAGTTCTGTTTACTGAGGTTCATGGTTAAAAGATGAACAAAGCTAATGAATTATGATAGAATATATTTACATATAAGTTGTAATAATAAGCAGCAAAGTTTTTAGTTCCTATCATGTATAAGGACTTTATTATCTTTTTTAAAAGACAAACAAACAAAAAAACATTGTAAATTCCTGTTATCTTCCCCCCACCAAGACCATGTAGGGTCCAGTCTACTCCCTAACCTTTTTCCCAGAAAAGGTGCTACCTCCTTCCCAGACAGATGACAGAGGGCAGGACTTCAGGCTGGATCTACCCTTAGGCTCTCCCTCCCCCAGCCTGGAGCATGGGAGGGGAGGTGACACCTGGTGATGGATGAGTGGTGGACTGAGAAGAGGAGACATGAAAGGGCTATTCCAGACTCAGCCCTGCTCCTCCAGCCTTGCCTCTGGCATAGGGGAAACAGAGGCATGACTGACCAGGATCAGGGTCATGCCCAGCTGGGCCACAGCCATGCGTGGGGTAGTCCAGTAAATACTGTGGACACTTAGCAAGGCTGCTGCCTGGTGGTTTGAGTCTGCTGTGGTCACAGACACCCTCCTGGCATTGGCTCCCTATCAACAAGCTGGGGGTGGGAGGTGGAGAGAGGAGGAGCCCCTGCCTTAGGAGCCTCGTGGGCTGCACCAAGAGAGCAACCAGCCTGGGGCAGGAGCTGCCAGGTCCCAAGGGTGACTGACCCAAACATCATAGATGCTTTTGTTGGGTGGCACCTCCTGGAAGAGGACATCTAGATCCCAGAGCAGTCCTGGGGGCCCTCAGGTTTGAGAGGCCACCCCCCCCAGTAGGCAGGGCCAGTTGATAGTGGACACTGGGGGCAGTAGGTGGGTGATGGTGCCAAGGGCATTACCACATTGGGAGTGTAGATAGGCAAGTAGGAGGTGAGCAGCTGCCCCTAGAGGGAGGCTCTGTGTCCCCCAATGGACAGCCACCCAGGAACTGAGGTGTCCTGCAGTAAGTGGAGAGACCAGGCCGTAGGCTCTGTGGAGAAGGTCGAGGGCCCCATGGCTCCCTGCTGGGAAGCCTCCCTCTCCATTCTTACGGGGCTGGGAAGGGGGCAGAGGGGCCACAGAGGCCTCTCAGAAGAGGGCAGGGGTGGGGTGGGCACCACCTCCTCCCCACTGCTCCCCGTGCCTGAAGGAGCTGGGCTGCTCTATGGGACCAGGGTGCCTCCTCCCCAGAGTCCCCTAGCAGGGACTTGATGCTGAAGCCCTCACTGGGTGGCAGCAGGGGACTGGGCGCACCTTGCAGCAAGTAGGGCCCCAGGTCCTTGGTGAAGGCTCCGCGTGCACCCCATTTCTGCCAACACCTACACAGGGCTGTGTTCTGCCACCATAGCGACTCTGCTGGGATCAGGCTTATGTCAACCACCCAGAAGTTCCCCTTGGCCTTGGGGCTTTGCAGGGTCCACAACTATACATTTAGTAAAATTTGGCATTTGATGTCAGTAGGCATAATAATCAGTAAGCATATACTGATAGGAATATTCTTCTATTTATTTGAGGATTTTAAAACAATATAGGTTAAATTATTTGATATTTTAAGTTGTGATAGCAAATGTAGAAGTTAATATCTTCTGGAATATCAATCTTGATATTACAGTTATGTTTGAAAAGTGTTATGGAAAATAATTTCAAATGCCTCCTATTTCACAATATTTCTTCAATTCAGTAAGAGAAGACAGGATAAAATTCAAAAGTAATCCTTGGATTTTTGTGATAGCATATGAAAAGTACTTAACTACAAAATTGCTTGCTATTTTAATAGCTAAAATCAATGAAACTTTTCTTTTATATGCTCACTAATTATTATGCCTACTAACATCAGATGTAATCAAGAGTGAACAAAAGGGATTATTATTATTATTTTATTTCTTTTATTTTAGTTATCCACACTTAGTTTTGCCTGCCTGTCTGTTGTCCTATGGAAAAACAAAGTTTATTGAGATCTATGAAAATACTAAAAAAGAGAAGAAAATATTTTAGAAATTAGATGACAAGGAAAGATGAATCTGAACACAGTGAAAAATACTAAATATATGAGAAAAAATTTATTTTAGTTTTTTTTCTAGTGTTTCGTTTCATAACATTTTGATAGTTCAAGGTTGATGAACCATTCCCACTACCCTTTCCTGTAAATAGATTAAAGCTGGACAGAAAGAATGTGACATGTACCCTTTAAAAAGACTCTAGATGTATGGTAAATATATTAATAAATTACTATATTATACTTACTAACATATCATATGACTGAATCAATCACTGTGCCATATATATAAATTGGCATTGTTATATTCATAGTGGCATTGTTATATTCATACCATAATCAAAATACTGCTTGAGCTGTGAATACATGTAACCCAAAAGTCTTGATAATAGCCAAATACATAACTTTTGGGACAGGTAACTTTTCCTGGTTAGGTTCTTCCTTCCAAACCATTTAAGGCTGCAGTTTGAAGTAAGCATCACTGGTACAGTTTGAGACAGCTGCAGAATGCTTTGTTTTTACCTTTATACTCTGTGAGTTTATTATAGATTTACTAACATATGTTTAATCAAATTCTGTGAAGTTCAGTGACATGTAAGGTGAATTTTACTGTATAATAGACAATGACAATGGTCAGTTATAATAAAGTTTTCAAAATTTAATACAAACTAATA